TAATTTGCACTCATTTTACATAGCTGAACGGGGGAGGGGGGGGATGGACGACGACGACGGACGGTACAAACGGTAGTTGCCCGTCAACACAATGACAACAGTAGCTCGTACATTTTTAGAGGCAGGTTGCATTTGGCAGTAAGACCACATTTATAATGTAGCACAGCTTGCAATGGCACTGGTCATTCAAAGCTCGCTTTTTACCACTATTTTGTGTAGGGTAGGGAGGACCCCCCCCGAACTGTCTGACCACTTGTCTCTTCTGCAAACGATGAGGCAGATGGCTGCTAAATCAGAGTGAGAGCGAAAGGAATCCAGCCTCAGACCAATTCCTCACAAGCAGCTGTGCCACAGCTGTTTTTAACTCTGCTGAATTTCTTTAAAAACTACAACAGCTGCACAGCCACATTTTGACTCGCATCTCCATCTGATTTCCTTTGCGTCTTCTTGATCCTCAAAAAACAGGATCGAGAAGACGCGGGGGAAATCGGGGGGGGGGAGATACGGGTCAAACTGTGGCCGTGCAGGGAATAGTGTGAAATTGACCAATACAACTGGGGGGAAATGGAAGAGCGAGGGCGGCATAGCTGCTTGTGGGGAATCGGAGTCAATCTCTTTTGCCTCTCATAGCACTGGATCTGGCGCAGTATCTGAATTAATTTCCCAGCAGTGTGTTTTTTGCCAGATTTGCAGAAGGGCCCTGTCCCTCAGCAAGAGGCAGGTTGCTTTTCAGTCAATCACCAGTTGCTGTTTCATCTCAAAGGACTCAGGAGTGAGCTCAGTTAAGTCCAAAGACAAAGCTGGGAATAGATGCATGGTCTTCTTGTTTCTTTACACATTCACAGTTGGCTGTGTTTTTTTGTAAATAAATAATTCCTGGTCAGGCACAGAAGGGTCTGTTGTTTTGTGCTGTTCTCACAATGGAATGTATGACACATTTACGCCCTGCGTAAGGAAGGAATCACTGGCTACCCCACAGTAGCAAAACTCCAGTCTGTTTGGGGATTCCGGGCACATCCTCTGCTCCATTTTTCACGCTCCATTAATTCCCATGGTGGCCAGTGTTTACATTTCCCACTGGCCTGGTGATTAATAAGGTCTTGCAAGGCAGTCTGAAGTCCTTGTAGGGGGAATCCGAGTCTGTTTACACTGCTTGGCCGGCAGGCAGGGCCTCCTGTAACCTTCACAGCCCCACAGGAATGTGTGTGGTTTTCAGTGCTCCGTTTGTGCCGCTGTTCACTTCTATGTATTTCAGCCTCTGGGGCTTGCTTTCCTTCAGCATCCTGGAATTGTGGAAGGGTGCTGATAAAAGCCATAGAGGTGAACCGACTCAGCTTGCATGGTTCTATGGGCAAGGCAGTCATGAAGGTTAGACTTCTGTGGGACGTTTGACATTTGAGGGTTTTTTTTGGCTATTTGGCCTCCCCTGCTCTGTTCCCTTCCCATCCCTGACCTACTTCTCTGCTACTATCAATATGGAGAGGACGGGTTGCCAACCTCCAGGTGGGGGCCAAGAGATCTCCCGGACTTAGACCTGGCCTCCAGATAACAGAGAGCAGCAAGCCTATTTTAAAAATGGCTGCTTATGGTGAGGGTAAAAAGGTAAAGGTAAAGGTTTCTCTCGCTCGAAAGCCAGTCGAATCCGACTCTAGGGTTGCGGTGCTCATCTCCGTTTCCAAGCCGAAGAGCCAGCGCTGTCCGAAGACGTTTCCGTGGTCATGTGGCCGGCATGACTAAACACCGAGGCCCACGGAACGCTGTGACCTTCCCACTGAAGTGGTACCTATTTATCTACTTGCTTTCGATCTGTTCCCTTCCCATCCCTGACCTACTTCTCTGCTACTATCAATATGGAGAGGACGGGTTGCCAACCTCCAGGTGGGGGCCAAGAGATCTCCCGGACTTAGACCTGGTCTCCAGATAACAGAGCCTATTTTAAAAAGTGGCTGCTTATGGTGAGGGTACCCCATGGCGTTTTATCCCACTGAGGCCCACCCGTCCCCAAACGCCTCCCTCTCCAGGCTCCACCCCTCAAAGTTCCAGGTATTTTCCAACCCAGAAGTGGCAACTTTAAGGGTGACTCTCCTTTATCAGGAGAGGAGGCCTCTTGTTTCAGCAGCAGCAGCGGCGGCAATTTTAAAATTGCGGTGTGAGCGATGTGGTGTGGATTCTGGGCCTCAGAAGTCCCCGAGTCTTCTTGGCCTTTACTGGACTGCCGCTGGCAGCTTGCTGACTCACGGGCATTTAAAAGATATCGGCCTGAATCCAACCTGCTGCAATTAGGGCTGCCAGCCTCCAGGTGGGGTCTGGAGGTCCCCCAGAAATACAATTGGTCTCCAGACTAGGGATGTGCACTCGGTTTGTCTGAACCGAATGCACCCCCGAAAATGGCCCATTCAGACCCCTTTCGGGCTGCTGCAGGCCGATTCAGATTCTCTGATCTGAATCGGCTTGCCGCCGAATTTCCCACCGTAGAGAACAATGGAGGGGATAGGGGCAACCTGTTTGAGGGCCCGTAGAATTGGACCCCCTGGTCCAATGCTCTTGAAACTTGGTTGGTGTCTTGCGAGTTTGGAGTCTCTCCCTCACGCCCCCTCCCCTCCAGCCCCCAGAATATACCCTATGTTTTCACCATTGGCTTCAATGGTCCATAGGATATAATGGGGCTGAAACTGACATTCGGCCGGCTGAAAGACTCCCGAATCCGCTGGTAACTTCTGGTAAGGTTGCCAGGCCTGGGTTGGGAAATACCGGGAGGCTTTGGGGGTGGAGCCGGGAGAGGGCGGGGTTTGGGGAGGGGAGGGGCCTCAGCAGGGTACAATGCCGTAGAGTCCACCTTCCAAAGCAGTCGTTTTCTCCAGGGGAGCTGATCTCTGTCAGCTGGAGATCAGTTGTCAAAGCAGGAGATCCCCAGGCCCCACCTGGAGGCTGGCAACCTTGATTTCTGGTGATTACCCCTCCTGCTGCAGCCCATTGGGAATCCCTAGTTTTGTTGGGGGGGCAGCAGTCTTTCAGGAAGAGCATCGGGACAGTGGGGAGGAAATAGTGGGGCAGTAGAGGAAGGAGAAATCAGTGGAAGTCTCCGCCCGCCCCTTCTGAACTTATGAATTCAGAATGTGTGGTTATTTACAGGCCGTTGCGGACATTTGCACGGCACATATCACACACCCAAAGTGTGAAGAAACCAAAAAGCGCAGAGACACAGAAAGGGTATCCCTCCCCTCATAGGGTCGCCAACGTCCAGGTGGGGCCTAGAGATCTCCCAGAATCACAACTGATCTCCAGGTGACAGAGATCAGTTTCCCTGGAGAAAATGACTATGCTGGAGGCAGGACTATATGGCATTACACTCCACTGAGCTTCCTCCCCAAACTCCACCCTCCCAAGCTCCACCCCAAAAAACCTCAAGGAATTTCCCAATCTGAAGTTGGCAACCCCACCTCCAAAGCTTAACTGTGTCCCTGGGTGACCGAATGCTCAATCACTCGACATGGATTCCAACAGTGGATCATGCAGAGATGCAGCGGGCAAACGTCTGTATGCCTAGGAGCCCTCATTTCTCATGATATATTTGTATGTTCTAAATCACAGTCTGAGAATTTTTGCTCTGGCGTGACTCAGAAATGGAACCTTGATCTGGACTATGTAAATGAAGAGGTGGGGCTATGCAGATTGGAGCAGGCTCAGTGGTCAGGGTCCCCCCTCTGAGTTCTATGCGAGAAAATAAATGGGCAACAGTCAGCGTCACTGCTAGGGAGAGGGCGAAAACTCCCCCCCCCCAAAGAAATGGGATTTGGTGCCATTCCCCATGCCCAACCCCATGGTCTTGGGTGTACATTTTATTTCCTTTCCTTTTTGCCATAAAAGTACATGGCAGCCACTCATTATATGGGGGAAAGTGAAATGCCACCATTGGGGACATTGGGCTCTCCCACATTCTCGTTTTTGTTGCTCGTGCGTCCCTGCTGCTTCAGAGAGTTTTTTTTCTTTTCCTTTTCTGCATGTCTTTTGCTCCCTCTTAGGGTTCAATTCGAGTGATGTAATATCAAATTGACCACTAGAGGGAGCAAAACAAGTGCAGAAAAGGGAAAGCTCCAAAGCAGTAGGGACACACTCCTAACAAAAATGAGAATGCCGAAGAGCCCATTGTTGTGATAAAGACACACATGTCTGTCCCTTTCTGACTCAGATAACCTCTTTACACATTACAGAGTACACAGCTCAGGTCTGGGGTCCCTGCACTATGTCAGATGTAACACAATCGCATGTGAGTTAAATATTCTCTTCCATTCCCATATGTGCAGTACCCAATTAGGGCTACAGCACATGTTGGGAAGGGGCATGCCATTTTTGCAATTGGATACGGTCCCAATTGGATACAGGAAACCCACACGCTGTCAGGGATATATGGGAGCTTGGTTTTGGCTGAGAGAGGTTCCCTGGGGGTACAATGTGTGTCTGAGTACACAACACTGAGTTTGTTGCCAGATGTAGACCTCTTTTTGCCATGCCTCATGCAACAATACGCATTTTTGCGAGCTGAAGAAAGCACTTTCAGTCCAATGTCAATGCACTTTGCAATTGGGTTTTACTGCGTGAAACAGCAAAATCCACTTGCATTGACAGTCGACTGAAAGTGCATTATTCAGCATGTGTGAAAGTGCCCTAAGCGAAGAGGCCAAAGAAGTATAATGGATCAGTTGAAGAAACCTGGCTAAGTTGTGGCTTGTGCTCACCAGTCTGAACTGGTGGTAACTGACCAGGAAAGAGACCTTGTGGAGGCAGTAGATACCTCAACGAAAATGTTAGCTGTACATTCTACTACATCTCAGTTATACCACACATGTGCGTTGATGCATAATGGAGGCACTTCAAAGCAAAGTCTGCACTTCAGAGCGATTCCTTGTGGTATCAACATCAGGAGCTACATCAATGACGTCTTCTCTTCCATGACAATGTTCTTAATCCAAGAAGGAACGATGTAAACCTTAACAGTTCTTCTAGCTTCTTGTCACATCACAGCTGTGATTCTGCAAAGGAGAGGAAGGATAGGATCCAACTGCTTCTTGCATCTTCTCCTTAGATCCTTCCTCATCTAAGTTCTTTGAGGACAACTTCATCCTGTGCAATTGGGACCCACTGGAGGCTGAAGCCTTCCGGAAAGTGGAAAGCCTTCTGCGGAAGTTGCCCCCAGAAAAGAAATAGAGAAGCGGGTCGAAACAGCAGTTCGTAGCCGCTAGAGAAAGACTGATCACCACCGTCTTCTGCATGTAGAGGACGTCTTCGCAGCTGGCGCCTTTTCTCATCAGAAAATGGATATGGACGGTGCGCTGAACATGGTAAGGAGAGAAGCTGATCAGGAAGGCCAAGGTCACTATGATGACCATCCAGACCGCTTTTCTGCGGGCTTCTTGCTTCTTATGCAATGAGTTTTTCAGCAAGGCCCTTATGATCACGGTGCAGCAGATGGTGATGATGACGAAAGGCACAATGAACCCAACAAGCAATGCAATATAATGCAGGACCATCAGCTTCAGGACCATCTCGGGCGCTGGCGGTTCATAGCACTTGGTCTTGTTGGTTGCCGGATCCTCGTATGAGCCTCTCAGCAGAAACGGTGAACTCGTCAGCATCACGAAAATCCAAATAGTCACACAGGTCAGCCTGGCTCTTTTCTCCGTTAAGAAATGAATGTTCTGGACCGGGAAAGCAATGGCTATGCAGCGGAAGAAGCTCATGGCCGTCATGAAGAAGATGCTGCAGTACAAGTTGACGTACAAGGCGTAAGAAGTGATCCGGCACAAGAAATCGCCAAAGAACCAGTTGCCGTTGTTAATGTAGTACACCACCCGCAGAGGTAGGGTGAACACAAAGAGGAGGTCCGAAATAGCAAGGTTGAGCATGTACACCTGGAAAGCTGTCTTGTCCTGGTATGTCCTTATCAGGACGCACAACACAAAGCCATTTCCTACAAAGCCCACCATGGTGACGATGGAGTACACTGTAGAGTACACATGATTTCGGAATTCGTCAATGGTATCATGGCATGTCGGACTGGGCGTAGACAAGCTTGTGCTGTTCTCCTCGGCGGCCATGATGGATTCCATTGGGTAGGGTAGCATCCCTTGAGTCAAATCCTACAGTCCAAAGGTGAAAAAGAAAATTTGTTAGATATATGTCTGCACACCATACTAAAAGAGTGGTGTTTCTTACTGAAGTTCAGCAACTAGTAAGTATGAAAAAGAGTTCCAACACTGGGTTGAAAATCAATGATGGGGTATGAGAAGTCAACACTCTGAGCCAGCTGGTAAAGCTCTCGTCTTGGTGATGTTGGGATATGAAGAATTTAGGGGGAAATACCAGGAAATGGAGGTAGACAAGTGGTGAGATGGATGAATGAGAAGTTTTGAAAAAAGGAAATGCTTCTGTGAAAGCCGTCTTGGGTCAGAGAGGACTAAAGTTGTGAACGGCCATATCGGCCCATGCAAAATCCAGAAAAAAGAAACAGAATCACATACTACCATTTATTGACCCAACCCAAATGACTCAAAACATTGTGGAAGCTCTTTAAAAACAAACAAACACAATGTTGCGGAAGCTTTCAAATTCTACAGGACTCTTCACCAGGCTGATGTTCCAATTTTTTTTAAAAAAAAAAGAAGGAAGAAAAAAGCAAAATTTCCAGGTCTAGTACTTAAGACCCTGTCATGCTAGCCTTTGATGTGGGATGCTTGGCTGGCTCACCGTTTGATCGCTGTAGGTGTTAGATGAAGAGCACTTGTACTCTGGGAAGAAGAAACACATAACGGAAGGTCATGCTGCTTTTTCCAAAAGTGTTTTTTCTTCCTTCCCAGACTGCAAGGTCTGTCCTGTCGTTTCTTTTTCTTAGATGACTACCAGGTAGGTGGAGCCTGGAGAGCTCCTGGAATTACTACTGGTCTCCAGGCAATGGATTCATTCCCCCGGGAGAAAAACAACTGCTTTGGGGGTGGACTCTGTGGCCTGATACCCCGCTGACCTTCCTCCCCAAACTCTGCCCTACTCAGGTGTCACCCCCAAATCTCCAGGAATCACCCAGCTCAGAGTTGGCAACTCTACTTCCAGGGTCGGGCATCTGGGCTCCTTCAGCCACTCTAGGAGGGAAATGCCAATGCGGGGAATAAATTCTGGCTTTCCGGCTGACGGTTCAGAAGAAATATCGCCTAGAGTAGCACAGCTGCGGTTTATGATAGTTCCTGTTCTGTATGATGAGTCAGCCACTTGTTTCTTGTTTCTCTGGGTAGAGAATTGAGCAGCCAGCCAGAAGATGGCGATCCTGGTTAGAGAGAGGAATCTGCACTGCAAAGTTAACAAAATAATAGTGCCTCTTTTCTTTGTGTGACCAGGATAGAATGTCTGGTGCTTTGCTCTCCTGTGCTGCCAAACTGGGAGGTGTCCCTTCAGAACAGCAGTTTGCCAAACTTTTCAGTATGCCAACCCACAAGTCCAAATTTACTTGTTATGGTGGTGGTGACCCATCCAGGGCTGGACTAACGGTTGTTAGCGCCTTGGCCAACGATGACCTTGGCACCCATCTAGTTCAGCATCCCATTTTCTACACTGGCTAACCAAATGTTTTTTTGAGAAGTCAATAAACTTTGCACATAGGGTGCAGCTTCCCCCACTGTGAACCCCAAGCAAATGGCATTCCAACATACATAGCCTCTGACTAGGGATGAACACGAACTGGCTGACGAACTAAACTCCATCACAAACTGGCTCGGAGCCATTTAAGCCCTTGCTTTCTGCTCCCCGTGAAAAGCTGCAGGGAGCAGAAAGCAGGGGTTTCCAAACAGCCAAGCATGGGGACCACCTCTCAGGAGTTTGGAAACCTCTGCTTACTGCTCCCCACAAAAAGACGTAGGGAGCAGAAAGCAGGGGTTTAAACTTTAAATGGCTCACGAACCCATATAAACTGGGTCAGTTTGCAAACCAGCCTCCTGGTTCATATGGGTTTATGGTTCAGTTGTGGTGAAGAAGAAGAGGAGGAGGAGGAGGAGGAGGAGGAGATTGGATTTATACCCCACCCTTTGCTCGGAATCTCAGAGCAGCTTACAAACTCCTTTCCCTTCCCCTCCCCACAACAGACACCCTGTGAGGTAGGTGGGACTGAGGGAGCTCTTTCCAGAACTGTCCTTGAGAGAACAGCTCTGACAGAACTATGGTTTGCCCAAGGTCATCCAGCAGCTGCGAGTGGAGGAGTGGGGAGTCAAACCTGGTTCTCCTTCTCCATTACTCCCTCTAACTGCCCCTAAGATTATAAGAAACTCATTCATCAGGACACGTTTTACTTGATCAACATGTATATACAGTGATTAAAAAACACTAGCTAATGTGTGACATAGAAGATACTCCTTCCAGCATCAGTCCTTGGTTTCCAAAATACAAAAGACAGCAATGGAAAGGGCAGGGGGTGGCCATTCGGGAGGGCTGGCCTGCGACCCACTTTCAGATGCTTTGCAACCCAGTTTTGGGTCCTGACCCACAGGGTGGGAAACACTACCTTAGTACAGGACACAGCATAAGGCAAGCCCCCCCCCGGCCAGGCCTTGACCTTGGTATACCGGTTGGAACGAAGCCCCACTGAAATTAACCAGACTCTGACCAATCAGGAGTTCTAGTGTAACTCTGGGGAGCCTGCCAACTGCATCTGTCACCAGAGAATGAGGGAAAGTGGATGCACTCTGACCATACAAAAGGTGGTGGTGGTGGGGTGATTGCAATGATGACATTGCTACCCCTCCCATCACGGACGTCCAGGTGGGGCTCCCCAGGTGGCTCCAGGACTGGAGGTCCTGCAACAGCAAACTTGGCCTCTGACCTTAGAGCCCTCTGAGATGCAGTCTTCGTGCCCTGAACTTCAACTCAGTTCCAAAGAAACCAGAGAATTGCACAAGCAGAAAACAAAACTAGAGCATCTGCTGCGGCTAGAAACAAGGGGCGTGTCTACAAGTATGGGTGGTTCCCCACCCACCCTCCCTCCCCGGTGCAACTGATCTTATGCATGTTTGCTCAGTAAGAAACCCCATTGGGCTCAATGGAATTTACTTCCAGGTAACTATGCTGCGGTGGCTCAAGTGGTTAAGACGCTGAACTGCAGGCTGTGGAAGGTCAGTAGTTCAGCGGTTCAAGACCCGGGTACCGCAAGACAGGGTGAGCTCCTGTCTCTAGTTCCAGCTCCTGCCAACCTAGCAGTTCGAAAGCAAGAAATTGCAAGTAGATAAATAGGGACCACTTCGGTGGGAAGGTAACAGCGTTCCGTGCGCCTTGGTGTTTAGTCATGCCGGCCACATGACCACGGAAACGTCTTCGGACAGCGCTGGCTCTTCGGCTTTGAAACGGAGATGAGCACCGCAACCCTAGAGTCGGATTTGACTGGCTTTCAAGCAAGGGAACCTTTACCTTTACCTATGTTCTGGGTTGTAAGCTTTTGTGTACTGGGTGCGGCTCCAGCCTGCTCTACCTTACACACACACACACACACACACACTCACACACACAGAGAGCTGACTGCCTACCCATCCTTTTGGTTCTTAACAGTGCCAAAGGGGTGGCATCATCTGTGGCAGGCTGCGTGGTTTTGAGAGCAAGCGCTTTAAGAGGGTACCATCACACCCACAAGCACCACTGCGACCACTGTGAAATGCAGTGAGTTCAGTGCAGTGAAAAGCCTTCTGGAAAGCCTAATAGCTTGAGCTCTAGTTCCTTGCAAGAGACAATATCACACAACCGGGGAAATTTCCTTACAGGGTAGCGTTTCTGATTGGAGAAGTGCCAGACCCCCATTGTTTCCTGAAACTCAAACCTTCTGCTCTGAAAGTCTTTTCACCTACTCTGAGAAACACCAGGACATTTGGTCTTTAGGAGAAGCTCATAGCAGAGCAGATACTGATCTGGGCAACAGCACCGGTGAAAAAAGCGGGTTAATTCTTCCCTGTTGTGGAGTTTTCCTGATAATCTGGGCTGGTTTTGCCCCCATTAAAGGGGAAAAGAAGACAGACAAAATTCAATCACTTCTGTGTTCCGTACTTGGGGCCATTTTTGATCCAGGTAATGGTGCAAAGGAGAGAGTGAGACCACCCTTTCCCCAACAAAGCAGCCCTGATCCATACTGGGACCTTCCAACCAAAGAATGTCATCCCACGGAGTTTGTGTTGGAAGTGAAGGACTGGGCGCTGTCCCCCTGCCTCAGCCTCCACACTGCACGGCAAAAGAGTCAGATGGCTAGATAGTCAGACCTTTCTTTCTCCCTGCGCTTACTCTTCTGCCACTATCCCCTTTGATATGTAGAAGGCCGCTCCCAGGGATGGATTTCCTTCCTTCCGCTCTCTCCCTCTCCCGCAACACACTTCTCCTTGCACACACCAAGAGGGAGGCCACGCCATCCCCATCTTGGCACCATGATGCAGTCCGGCCTCTCACCATCTGCATCCATCCATAGTAAGTTAGACTAGAACACTATCCTATCTCTAAGCTTTCCTATCTAGAATGTAGTTCCTCAATAAAGAGACTGTTATTAGTCTTCAAACTGAAGAGCAGCTCTGTGTAACTTTGTAAGCTAGCTTGGATGCCTGGAACAAAAGACACTGCTGCGTGTGCGCTTCAAGCACTCTGCTAAACTAATCAGTGGTAACTGGGCTAACTATACCGGTTAACCCAACAGTTCGGCCCATAGATGGGGTACGTCACTAAGTCTAGATCCCAGCCTCTGCCATCAGGGTTTAGGTCAGTGATGGCAAACCTTTTAGAGACCGAGTGCCCAAACTGCAACCCAAAACCCACTTATTTATCGCAAAGTGCCAACACGGCAATTTAACCTGAATACTGAGGTTTTACTTTAGAAAAAAACAACTCATACATTAACTTAAGATGATCCAAACAAAGTAAGGAAAGCAATCCCAAATGCTTTCATTTACTTAAAATTATTTGGCAGAGAATTTGACACTTTAATGATGGTCTGGGCCTGGCCGGGGCGATGGCACGCGTGCCCACAGAGAGGGCTCTGAGTGCCACCTCTGGCACCCGTGCCATAGGTTCGCCACCACTGGTCTAGATTGAATTCTTGGAATCACTGACTTCTCATGTTCCTAAAAC